GGAGGGTCAGAGATAAAGAGGAAGACCCCCAATGAGATGACACAGTGGCAGCAACAATGGACTCAAATATAACAAGTGTAAGAATTGTGCAGGACTGGACAGTGTTTCGTTCTGTTGTGTGTAGGGTCACTATGAGTTGGAACCAACTTGGTGGCACCTAACAACAATCTCCCAACTGTGTTCCATTCCAGAAACCTCCACAATGTTCATCTATCCTAGAACAATCCTCTTCTTCCTTCTGGTTAGCTGGTGAAGCACCTAACAGGAAAATGGTCTTTATGAAACCTTCCTTCTTGGTAGGTGGGGTTGGTCACCTGGTTGGTACCTTTACATGTGAACTGAGCATTTCTTTGATGAGATGTTTAAGTCCATGTCATCATGACATCCACCCCACCTCCCCACTCCCCCCATCCACACCCTCTTATATGCCTTGTGTATGGAAGCAGCAAGGTCCCTGAAAGGAGAAGCCAGCAGGAAAGTGAGGAGGGGCTCACTGACAGTAAGATGTATCCAGCCTGAATACAAGTTCTCCTCCAGGCCCACCACCCATTCAGTGAGCATCCACCATACACAAGGCATCTTGCAAGTCACAGGGGCTGCTCGGATGAGCAGGATACTTGTCCTCTTGTTGCTTATAGCTGGGGGGTGGGGGTGGTGACCTGAATCAGAATCACTGTGATAGGGACTAATGAAGGAGAAGTTCTACTAAGCAAGCATATGATGAGGCGGTTGCTAAGAATGTGTGGGAGGTGAGGGGCGTGATGCAACATTCCCTGGCCTGGAGAAGCTGCTGGCTCCCACAGGTCAGTGTTCAACCTGTATGCTGAGCAAATAATCTGAGAATCTGGGTTATATGAAGAAAAACGTGGCATCAGGATTGGAGGAAGACTCATTAATAACCTGCTATATGCAGGAGCTCTAGTAGCATAGTGGTTACGAATCAGGTTGTGAACCGCAAGTTCAGCAGTTCGAAACTACCAGCTGTTCCGTGGGAGAAAGATGAGGCTTTCTGCTCCCGTAAAGATTAATAGCCTTGGAAAGCCTATACAGGGTTGCTATGAGTTGGAACCGACTCCATGGCACATAACAACAACAACATATGCAGATGATACCACCTTGCTTGCTGAAAGTGAAGAGGACTTAAAATATTTACTGATGAAGATCAAAGAGCACAGCCTTCTGTATGGATTGCATCTC